GGTGGACACGTAGGGCCATGACAGTCGCTTTTCAATAATGGGTACCCGACAGGAGGCTCGTCGTGCGGCAAGAAGGCAGAGTCAGCGGATGAGTGGCAGTGCGTGATGTGCGATGTAGGACGTACAGTGGTACATTCTTTAACTTGACGCGAAATCACTACAGTACGCGCTGCGACTCGTCCGCTGACTCTGCCTTGTTGCCTAGCGACGGGCCTCCTGTCGGGTGCCCTTCAATGGTTCCTCTTTCCACGAAACGCGCCATGTATCCTCAGCTTAGGCATTCTGTTCCCTTTACAGTAGGCATACTTCCTTCCTGAACGACCAAATCATCGTGTCCACTCCCCTTATTAAGCAAAATACGCTAATTCGTGCTCAAACATACACTAATACACTCAAACGCTCATACTCATCATGGTCTCAATTCAAAATCAAAGCCTGATTCCCACAGCGGCCTTCAATCAGTCCACCTAGCCATACCCGTTCCTTCTCTTTCTGCCCATTTGGTATCTGGAAGGTTTCTCTAAAAAAGTGGCTCTACTTAGATCGCTTCCTAGAAACCGTACATGAAGCTTGGTCTACGAAGTCGAGGTGATCTTGTGTCTTCGTCAGGCATAATATTTACAATTGCTAGGGTACGCCTTGATCAGTGGGTAAAGGGAAAAGATCCAAATCGAGACACCCGACTAAACCTCATCTATGCGTTTCAATGCGAGCGCAACACATCACTCATGGAATCTTTACATCGAAAACACGCTGTTGGCGCACCCCATTACACTTCAAGGCGTTTCCCGAATTGCCGGAATTCTACGGAGGGTATAGAGGAGGCCTAAGTTGTAACTGGCGCTGCTTTACCTCGCGCTATGATCAAGGATATGAAGATTGGGTTATGCCGTCAGGCAACAAAGCATTCAGCGCACCGGGTCAGTTAAAATGGTAGAGACTTGACTTGGGAGGAGAGAGACCGGACGAGTGGACTCCAAGTTCATTGAATGGGCGACGCAGGCAACTACCACATTCATGGGAGTTAGAATGCATGGCGTGTCGAAAAAGGGATATATCGACGTCGAATGCTTTACGTTTTCCCTTATTCCTCACATGCTTTACCGATCAAGTCACCGTAAGGGGAAGCAAACCAAGAATGACGGCAATCGTGATGCTCGCCGTTACTCTTTTCGACGCATTTGAGGCCCACACGGAATTGTAGAGGTGATAGAGTACGAGTACTCGTCCTGGTGGAAGTACTTAACGATCTTCCGACGTGCTTGGGAAAGTGGGGCATGTCTATGCTCGTCATTCCCTCTAAAGTGCGCCGCGCAACCCATTTCTATCCAGAATCTAAAAGGCAATGCCTACCTACACAACGGTCATGGGAGCTAGAAGAGGTCGTTATCGTCTCGGTCTGACACATCCTCAATCTGATTTTTCTGTGGCCTATTTCGGAAGGATAGAGACTTGCTTTCTGAAGCCATGGGTTGTGCGGGACTTTTTCCTCATCACATCGTTTATGCTGCCATTAATACCCCCCCCCTCAGTAAGGTTAGTGTGAAATTCTGTTTCGAACGATGAATGGAAATGATCCAGTACTGATAAATGAACTCACAGTGATATGTGTATATTGATAAGTGCCGACCAAAGTGAAGAGTTCCCACGTGGTCAAAGTGGTGTCGCTTGACTGAGGTGAAGTGGCTGGACACCTCGGCTCCGCAACAGCTGAAATGATCAGAGAAGCTCTTCTGGAGGACGGGTGACGGTCCAGGTGGTTGGGCGGGGGACTCCGCCTTCTTGAACGCCGCCCACCATCTGCCGTCACCACCAACAAACAGCAGAAAGCAAAAGAAAAAAGATAAGGCACACTCCCGTGCTGCACACTCTTCACACGCGCACACTTCACGCCCGAGGAGCAGAGCTAACAGCCCTCGATCGGGCGGGTTAGATGTGGGTGGCAGGCCCATGGCTGTTAGCTCTACTTCTTTGAAGGAAACAGAGTGTTGGAAAAGAAGCGAACTCAGAAAGCTGGAGGAAATGGCATGGACAAACGGAAAATTGAGGTTGAAGCGGGGTAACTCCCTGATCTCACGCTCATATTTGTGGCTCAATACAGGTCAGACAAAAGGGTATACGACTCGAGCGATGGCTAACAAGGACCTATTGACGATGTTCAGAAAATCAGGCCCCTGTTCCAGAGAGATGTTTCTCTGGTGAACCGAGGCCGAAATCAGGGGAAGCGTATGGTGAGTTGTCCTGGGCGGCTTCGAATCGCAGAAGTTACCAAGAAAAGCTCATCCACTCACCTAATTACGCTTTTAGTAAGAGGTGGGCAATGTGGTCGATCGTGCGCTGAGGCTAGTGTTACTGACAAGAAGACGTTTTGGCAATTTCTTATTTTATAAATTGATCGGGCGGAAGTGGTGTAGTGGCAAGTGGCACGCTTACCACGCGAGCGGTCCGGGGATCAAATCCTGGGTCGTGAGTCGCCCGGGCCAACCAAGCCTTCCATCCCTCCGGGGTCGGTTAATTGGTACCAGACTTGTCTGGGAGGATAAAAACACTGACTTGTACATCGTATACGTAAGTTATTACATGCTCTGTTTAAGTTAT